ATGAAAACTTGCCTAAAATCGTCACTGCATATAATAATAGCATACACACTGTTACAGAAAGAACACCCAATGCACCGCATAAAGGTTGAAAAACTTAACATCCGATAGATGCTCTAACTCGGGACCAGATTCAGAGGTTACCCCAGACACTCGTGAATTTGCAGTTTTATACAAAGAAGATATTAAAAAGGTAAAGAAAAATATACAGAAAGTCCAACTGCAGATGATTGAGAAGGCTAACAAACATCATCGGCCATCGCAGTTTGAAGAAAATGATCGGGTATGGGTAAAGTCTAAAGAATTTGCCTTAGAAGAAAATGTGTCTAAAAAACTGCTACCTATCTATTATGGGCCCTGAGAAGTTCTCAAGGTGATTGGGGATGCAAATGAACCTTCTTACCAAATTGATGTAGTACCCCCTCACCTCAGAACCTATCCTATCTTTCACGCGTATAAACTTTTACCATATGTAGAGGGAACAAAGTTTCCTAATAAACCATTTATGTTTTCCCCCTCCATGAATGAAGGCGACAAAGTTTACAAGATTTTGAACATGACCTAGGCTACCACCCGGGACGCCCGGGTCACCCTATTTTCCCGGACGACCCGACCGTGCAAGGACAAGGGAAGGTCCTAGCAAAAAAAAATAAAATTAAAACAATCCGAAAAACGACTAAAATAAATTAAAACAATCCGAAAAAAAAACTATGTCATGCAGAGAAATAAACTGAACAACTTTTGCTCAGGATGGAATGGAATAGTAATCACGAGTCAAACCCAAATGCTCAACAAGAGTTAAACATAAGATGTTTAACATGAAGCAATTGAACACCAAGATAGAAAGTATTACATCTCCGGATCGGCGTCCCCGACGCCGCGTTCGACAGCTGCCAGACTGTCTCCTCAGGGGGTTACCGCCAAACACGCCCACACTAGTCGTGCTAACCTGCACCCACTTCCGTCCTTCACCAAAGCAAGTCTCCGGAAACTAGCAAAGATTCTGGTCCGTCAGTCCTGAAGGGTATACAATCACTTCGAAACTTCTAATTATACTCACGCAAGGCTTTTATTCTCAACACATAGCACTACTACGATGAAGGTACCAAAACATTCGAAAAAGCAATCCGACCAAGGTGCTCTCGAAGGTTTCCGGTGGAAAATCGGGTTCGAGATAGGTCGAGGATTCTACGGAAAATCAAGCAAAAACAAACGAAAACAAACAGGCAAAAACAGCCTCTGCCCGAAAATAAAGTAAAACGACCCAGCTCCTGCCTACAGGCCCTGTCTGAATATCGCCAAGAAACGGCCCACAAACAACTGAAGAACTCGGACTGTAAAAGAAAAAGAAAAAAGAAAAAAGAAAAAAAATCCGAAAAAGACAACAACATAAAAATTCCCATGAAAATGAAAGTTGAAAAAACATTCCATAAAAAAAAAAATCCTTCATATTTATAAATTATCATTCCAATGTTTGTCCAATTCTAAAATTTCTAATTTAATTTGATAAGTTTCTGTCTAAATATGAGTTTTCCCTTCCAACTACATCTATTTGTTCAAGATAGAATGGAAGTCTAAACGAGTTTATGAAATGTTTTAATTAGACTTTCATTCTACTACAACAAATATCGTCTAATTTAGATTGAAGTTACCTATTTATAACTGGAAATCCTTACTGAGAATGGCAGTCCAATTAAAATATTTCATGAACTCATCCAGACTTTTTTTCCATCTCTAGCATACAGTTCAAATAAGAAGGGATACCCCATTCTTGGACGAAAATTTTTCAAGTAAGACGAAAAATTTTAAAATTGGAATGACATTTTTTAAGATGGAATAAAAATTTGGAATTTAGAATGTAATTTTACTCTAGAATGATTATTTAATTCTAGGAAATTTTCCTGTTGAAAAGATGCCTCCAAACCGCTGAAAAATTAGAACCGTATACGAATAACGCCGAGAAAAGGCCCACCAACAACTGGAAAACTACGACCATATACGAAAGAAAAAACAAACATCCGAGAAAGGCAAAGCCTAAGGCTAGGAATTCATATTACAAAGAAACAGGCAAACATCTCAAGCTTTGAGAAACTTCACACTGAATTGTCAAATGTCACCACGTCCGACCGCAAAATGCTTTAGCACACCCATGAAGAACCAATCGGGAAAATCCTTCCTTCGCAATTTGGTCTGCAGAGTCAAGACCCGTCGGGGTATCTCAGATCGTAAAGTCGTATTACAGTCAATTCGGTGGAGATAACTGCTGATCACAACACTCTTCTGCCTCTTGCAACCCCAGGAATGGAAAGGCTGTCCGTTCTGGATGCATAAGCGTTCCTTTGACCAGATCCATTCCTCATTACGAGACAATTGAATGTAGTGCAGATGTGAAAACTTCTTTGACGTTCGGATTTGGCACCCAAGGAAATAAAAAATACTGGATCCATCATTTGTCCTCTTCAATGTCAAGGCACTTGGATAGCATTCCTTAAAACAAGTCAGTACATGTTCGTTGTGTTCAGGTTTCTTTGTTGTAGTAACCAGCATCACGTCATCAATGAGGCGACAACCGAAAGTCAGACGCGAATAACTGCCCAGGCTGCATAGGAAATTGTACTCCACGAACGCGCACAAAATACAGGCTAAAGGAGGACTTGTTGGTTTATCCATAGGTATACCAACAACTTATTGCAACAGAACACCGGTCGCGAACGTGTATGTATGACTCAACTCCAATCTAACAAAGGTAAGGATACTCACAAGCTCAAAACGCCTCCAATGGTCCCCACCGGTGGTCAGCCCAAAAGATGCCCCATGGCCTCTGGTATTGACTCGAACAAATGTTCTACCCTTTGTCAGATGATGGTCAACGATCCACTCCACGACACGTAAAATCTCATGATGGGGAAGTTTGCTAAACATCTCTTTGATGTCGAATGAAAAAGAGTGGACCTGGTAATCAGGGCCCAGTCTCAAAATCTTGTCATTCGTGCTTGTCAAACGCTGAGCCAGATTAGAGACTGAAGGCAAGTTGAAATGCCACCTTTGAGGAATGGATGATAGCAAATGATTGAGTGCACGTGACACAAGACGACAGGTATGTACCATAGGTTCACTGTACGTAGGGCAGATAGGTCGGAACCTATCCAGGTCTTTGTGTTTGGGCAAGATATAAGCTGACCCAAAACTTCCAGAATTATCCCATCTCACGAAATGGGAGAGATCCCTAGATACAACCTCCTCCTTAATCTCTCTCAAAATTTGACCTTCTGACACTTGCACTACGCGATAACCAGAATTGAGTACAAAAGTTGACATCATACCAGAGAAGTACACCGTTGGGCACATGACCAATGTCTCACCCGGGTTCCTGTCCAAAGGTGTAAGGACAAGACCCTGGAACATCTGCTTTAACTCGAGCACCTGATCAAGGCGCATACACTCACGTGTGTCAGATCTAGGATTAGAGAAACAGTTCAGCAACACATTGAGCGGGACAGGCGGCGGCTTCGAACGACAATCCACCCATCCATCAAACCCACTAACAATTTCCTTCTGTAAGGTAGTAGCCCGATCATCCCGTGGGATTCTCGACACATTCCTGGAGTTATGCAGCAAAGGGTCAAGCCCCTCAAGCTCACTCAGACGACACCGGACGTGCCCTTCCACACGAGGATAGGGTAGACCTGCACAATTACAGGTGAGCACACTGCGAGTGGAAAACTCTCGCTGATTGTGTACTAATTCCGCCATAGAAGGGTTCCTGACCCAGACTATACGGATCTTCTTCCGGCTCCTTTGCAGAAAACAAGAGGGTAAGCCACATAACATCAGGGAGTCATTAACCAACTTCCGAAGCTCAGATACTTTAATACGCTCATCAAACCTAATCCGAAAAATAGGATCAGCCCTAATACTCAGATCAAAACGTTCCCGAAAAACACGGGAGATCAACCGTCGCAGGTACTTACGACTCGACTTACGGGATAAATCTTTGATAACATTATACAGTCTCAACAACGACTTAAGACTCCACCCATAAAACTCAGCTAGATTACCAGGGTTACGCAACACTCTGACCAGCATGAACTTCAGAAAATGACAACGGGGTTTCCATTTACAAAGAAAAACAAGATTGAAACATCCCCCTGCTTCAAACGACTTCTTACATTCAATCAAATCTAAACGCTTACCTTCGACCAAGACCTTGGACTTACCGAAGGCTTTCGAAATACGTTTCCAACCTCCCTCCCAGGAGTTGCCCCCCGAAAAGGTTAGAGAGCAAGAGCAAACACCTTGAGCTAGCAAAGCGTCTAATATCCGGTAAAGGTCCAAGGACCAAGGTTCAGATTCACTACGCCGGATTTTGACAGGTTGGAAGTATTGAAGTCGCCCGGGGTAAGTGGTGGTTCCACGAGCTCGCTCCCGCCTGCCCGGTTTGCATTTCTTCCGCCCAATTTTTCTCACACCCGAGGTGTTCAAGAAGGGGCACCAGCGACGAATATACATAAGCTCCAACTTCCCAAGCTCGATACCATCGTGAAGGTCAATCAGAATAAGCGTATAATTACCAATCCCAAAGGAGCATAACCAACGGTGAAAGTGCGACTGCTTGTATGCTTTACAACGGTAAACGTGCTCCTGCCACCTGACCTTCACATCTCGCGTGGTCTTACCAATATACAAGTGTCTACAATACGGAGAGATACCAACATAGACACAATTCGTCAAGTGCAGAAACTCCAAACCGTGTGCTTCATACAAGTGTAACCAGGAATTGACATACTTATCTAGCCAACAAACCACGCCATCCAAGACGAGTCTCAGAATAACCAAACGTAGAAGATCCTCCAAACGTTGGTCAGAACATGGCAAAGATTTCCGTAAGTCCGTGATAATCCTGCACAGTTTCTTCAACTGCGGCGTCTCCAAGACTCCTCACTCCGCTCCAGATAACTGCTGCTCAGGTTCATCCACCACTGTAGTAGCCTCCTCAACATCAATAACATTTCCCGTTTTGATTACTTGCGCCCCAAACTTTCTAGTCACCCGGTGGTCTGCGATCACCAGTATGGCATCGATTTTGCCATCATACTACAAGCCATCCTCCTCGCAGAGGCATTGTAACTCGACAACATCCAAACTTTTAATCTCCTCAATCACCTTGTTCCGGTAACGCATCCTTTCAAGCGCCCCACGTGTCCCAGGCGTAAAAGGATCTGCATGCAGCGGAGTCTTCATGGCTGATTTCAGCGACTTCCGTTTCGAAAGAGGAGTCTTCACTGGTGACTTCCTTCCAGGAGTCCTTCTACCAGCGGACTTAGCTGGAGTTCGAAACTTCGCCTTGGAGCGTGTGATGCAAGCGGTCAGCTTAACAGGCTTCAAAGCACCGCGCTTAGGAGTATGCTTAGGCGGTTGTTCCATAGGTGGGCTGTCTTCAAAGACTGGCTCCGGGCCCCGCTTACGCTTATCGGAAATGCATAGACGCCGTGTGTGGTCATTCAACTCCTGAGTGACGCTAATGTCACTCTCGCCATCGCTTGAGGCAGACGTGGATTCACTCGCCGACTTATAGGACACCTTCTGTTTCCCTTTATATCTCAGGACTTGGCAAAGGGGTGCCAAAGTGTGCTCAAACCTTTCGAAGAAACTCTCCTCCATCTCACTCATCCGAACCGTCATGTGGATATCAAGATTTTTTTTCATCTCCGCTCTGCGCTCCTTCTCCATATCGTCACCACGCTTAGCATCTTCAGCCTTTTTTTTAGCCTTCATCTCGGCTTTCATCCTCCTTGCTTCGAGCTTTTCACGTTCAGCGAGTTCCCGTTCTTCTGCCTCTTTCTTCTCTAGCTTTCATCGCGCCTTTTCCTCCTTCTTCAGGCGCACTTCATCGTAAAACTCCTTCATGGCTGCTACGAACTTATTCAACTTAGAAACTGCCGACCGCACATCATCATCCCTTACGGGGGAACCCTGCCTTCCGTGCGAGTGGTAGCGCCGTGGCGACCTCCATCGACGTGAGTCGGCGGATGTAGATGGTCTGTCGGAGTAGTGTCGAGAACCTCGATCGGGCACTGGTTAGCATAGTGCCCCGGTTCATGGCAACGAAAACATGTCGGCGGTCTGAAGCGCCTGTGTTCGTCACCTCCTCCGTTACCTCCTTCGGTACCTTCGCGGTGATCAGTACCCGACATGCTGAACCTGTACCCGCAGAGTCAAACACCGGTCCAGAGGAGAGCATCCAACCGCTCACGAGATAGGAGACATAAACAAGTACACAAACGTCGTAGCGATACACGATCTTCGTCTTCGGTCTTCGTCTTCTCAATCGTCTTCAGTCTTCATCTCAAACGAGAATATCATAAGCAAGATAACGGTGTAACACGATCACTCTGCCCGGCAAACTTGACTCCAGGTGAGTTAACGTGCGCAGTCCGATGGAATAGTAATCACGAGTCAAACCCAAATGCTCAACAAGAGTCAAACATAAGATGTTTAACATGAAGCAATTGAACACCAAGATAGAAAGTATTACATCTTCGGATCGGCGTCCCCGGATTTGGCTCAGGGTCACATCGAAATTCTTTACCAAATTTAAAATAGATAATAAAGTTGTTGTTGTTTTGTTTTGTTTTGTTTTGTTGTTGTTGTTTTTTTTTTTTTTTTTTTTTTTTTTTTTTTTTTTTTTTTTTTTTTTTCTGGCCCGGCCGGGCAAGTGGCCCGGGCCACTCTAGTAGCATAGAACATGACTATTTTTCTACATGTGGCAGAGGACGACCGCAAAAGCAATATAAGGTACAATTCAAGTCTCAACCCCCTATTGAAGCTAGACGGTTCAATAAAAAGGAACTTCTACCTACTGCTCCTGACATTGTTGCTGCATATGAACGTGGGTTGAGGGAAAATTGATGTGTTTCTGCGATGGAACTCGGCCGGGAATGCAATAACCCATGAATTATGCCTCGTGGAATGTTTAAGGGCCTCGCCAGGCCACCACGCAGACCCTTTTTTTTTTTGTGTCTGGAAAAAAAACCGCTGAGATTGCTAGTGGTGTTGGTATGAGCATCCACCACTAGCAGCTCAGCTACTGGCTCCAGTCTATTGGTGGGGAGCTGCACCTGCTGGAAAACGGGTAGGCCACAAGGGAGAAAAAAACCGATGAAAATTCAGGGCCTGAGCGGGCAACAGTTGACTGAAGTCAACTGCCTGACGCCCAACAGTCAAAGTCAAATGTACCCAGCCCAGGCCGCCGGTCAGACGCACACACTTGTTTGTATGCAGGTACCCAGACAACATCAGGACCAAAGGAAAGTCTGAAACTGTACACAATCCAGGCCCTCGGCTGTGAGTCAATCTGTACGACTGTGGGTAGGAGACCCGAGGCCAGACAGCCTCGTCAGAAAGGCTTGGTCTACAGGAGGTCAACATTCGGTCTAGCTATGCTGCCTCGATGCTGGCTTGACTCTAGCTCGTAGCTGTCTGGACGTTGGCTTGACGCTGGCTGTGCGCTGGTACTGTGGACGACGACGGGGGACCGTGGCAGCATGCTGGCGCCTTCTCTGCTGAACGCCAGCCTCTGGTGATGGGGTGCGTGCCACCTATCTTCATTGCTGATGTGGCACATGCCACCTGTCTACATTGCTGGTGTGGCGCAGGCCATCTGTCTTCATTGCTGATGTGGTGCATGCCACCTGTCTAGAGGTACTCATAAGAGCAGCGAATGCTACCGTAAGAGACAAGTGGCATGCCACTGTAAGACCTGAATCCTTCATTAGGGGAGTTGGTTAAAAAAAGGTGGGGAGGGCTTGTGTCATATTCAAGAGGTAGGTAATTTCCAAAGCAAAGAAAAATAATAATAATGATAATACCCAAGGCATAAAACATGCATTTTCTAGGGGATCCAAAAAGGGCCAAAACCAACAACCCGCCCAGCCTGGCTCATGATAAGCCCACCAACTTCCCAGTAGTATTCCCTGCAGTTAAAAAACACCACCACGTTAAAATCCAAATCCGTCTGTATCCGTTGGGCACTTCCAAGAGGTCGCAACCGTCACATTATGGTGCGAAGCGCTGCTCTTATCACCTCGTCAAGAGGTCTTAACCCCCGCAAATGAAATTTTTGAAAAAAAAAAAAGAAAAAAAAAGGATCACTGCTTTTCTTTTATCACAGTGATCTTTCAGCTTCCCACTTTCATTGATTTCACGTGTGGTGTTTTTTTTTTTTTTTTGTTCAGTTCCAGATACTCGTAAACAAATTGTCAAAAAACAATAGCGTATGATTTGACCTTGGTCAAAAAATACTTGGACATTCTCTCTCGTTTAGTGCATAATCTGTCATCCTAGCCCCGATTCATAAAACCCTTAACTCCTACCTGCTCCAATGCGCCAGTTCCTCTCTTGCTGCTGTTGCTTTTTTATTTTTCTATCTTTTATTTTTAAGGAAAGACTCTTCAGACCCTAATAGGCAGGGTGATACGAGCAGCCCCCCCTACTAGTGCCCCTTCCAGTCACTCCATCTATTGGTGGGGAGTTGCACCTGCTGGAAACCGGGCCCAGCTTCCCATTAAGGCAAAATAATAATAATGTTTGGAATAAGACAGATCTTGTGGAAATTGCCGATCGGATCAGCTATGATCACGTTTTGCTTCAACTACCTGTAACGTAATTCCAAAACTTGAAATTACCCCTTCCTCCTCGTCGCCCTGGTCTTGGCGAGCTTTTATTCGTCCGCCACTGATCTACTGAGTACTGTGTAACTAACTATCAAGGGACCACTGGTGTCTGTCATCGTACCGAGCATCTTTTTGCTTCTGGAGGAACTATGGCCACTTCACTCTTTCCTTATGTCAAAGGGACAAGGGAATTGCTGAAGAAGTAGAGTCTGACCATTTCAAAAAAATCTTTATTCTGTTTACGATATGCTCATTTGTACAGATCGCGTCATGACCACTGGAAAATATATCACTACTGAAGGAGTCCGTTGAATGTCGAAGGATTCAGGGCTTCAGCCCTGGTTCCAAAGTCCCAATGTTCCCCTGTGTACCCTATTTTGCCAGCCAGTAGTCCCATACCGTAGGCCGGTAGTTGTCTAAGTCTACGTCATACTGTGAGTCTCTAGGCCGTAGGATCGTACAGACCGTTAGGTAAGGTCGGTAGAGTAGGTGTCAGTCCATCAGTCCGTCAGTCTGTCAGTCTGTCAGTCTGTCAGTCTGTCACAGCTCAGTCAGTCCCAGGAAAGTTTGAGAAACTCTCTAAGGGTTGTACGCTAACCATGGCTGCAAGCAACACTGCACAGACACCGGAAGGCCGGTGATTGGAGTTGCGGCAAGTACTAAAGTCTACAGTAGTACCTGCCAGACGTCAGCACGATTGGTACCCGTACTTGACGCCAAAGCGCTGCAGCGCACTGGTCCGTACGAGCTACGGATGAGGCTGAGTAATAGTCGTGTAGTCAACAGCGCTCAGAACCCTAGCTTTTGCGTGGGTGGGTGGTGGTGGTGGAGAGAGAGAGAGAGAGAGAGAGAGAGAG